CAAATACATAAAAAACATGTTCACTTTTTGACAAGAACAGAATTTTTTAATAAACTAATAAATTTTAACAAGGTCGTCTATTGCGTCCAAAATTCTCAGATAATTGTCCTTATTCAAGTCCATTCGAGTTGGAGGACTTATTTGTAAAATAAGTTTCTTAGGGAAGAAAAACAAAAAATGGAAAATGAAACTGAAAACTTAAAAATAAACATGAAAACGAGCATCAAAATCAGAAAACAATTTTATAATTCCATACGTGGTTCTTTTTCAATTTGATAAAGGCAGTTATACGAAGAACATATTTTGCAAAAAGAAAAAAAAAAGGAAGAGAAATCGAAAAATGAGAGAGGAACAACCTTGTAATTTCTAGTGATCCACACACGCTGCGCAAATGGGCAAATGTCGCTAATATACAACCTTGTCAACAAGAAAAACCAACAAAAAATATCAGATTAAGAAATCAGAAGTCAGAATTGATCAATTCAAGTTATAAACCTCGTAGTTCCATCAAAGAGAGGCGGCTGATCCGCAGTAGAATCCAGCGCGGGGGGCAACTTCTCTTGCACGCTAAAATCATCAAAAACGAAAATGAGAAGAAAATAAGCTTCACTAGAGTAAATACAGACGCTAAAACTCGAGGAATTTTCAAGAGATTAAGCGATTCGTACGCAGTAGCCATTGATGGAGTTATCTGGAAGTTTCTTCTGGCCGATGAACAAAGCGCATGGTTTGTGTTAGATTCGTCATGAGCTATTTATAGGAGTAGTTGGTGCAAGTTCAGGGATCAGGAGTGACGTCAAACGTTGTCGTTTTGGATAAACAAATCGGCACCATGTGAAACTGAATAAATTACGTTTCGTACTCCGCCACTAACGATAGTGACAACAAACATAATAATACTGAATTCCTTTATTTAGCGGAAGAATTAACTGTTTAAAGATTACATTTTTTGTACGTTTACTTAAAATAATTTAAAATAGAAAAAATATTAATAGTAAATATTATTAACTTCTATTCGAAATTGATGAAGTGAAAGAGGTACTTGTTTAGCTGGTCTTACTATTTAGGATCTCAATTTTGGTCGTCATAATATAAAATGGTTAATAAAAAATAGATAAACTATACTGCCTCAGTAAGAATATCAATATCTTACCACTGATACAAAAAATCAAATAATTATAGAAAATATAAAACGACAAATGATACATATTTTTAATAAAATTCGAATGCTAGTGCATTCATTACTCGTATCATTGAAAACATTAGTATTTTCTTCTCTAACCTGTAACTTCTCAAGCACTATACATTAGAATAACAATCTAATTATGAATATTATACATTTCAATAGATATATAATATTTAACTCTTAACTATTGCTCAAAGTTGGTTTATTTACCATGCCCATCGCTATTTTATCATTTTACTTTTCTCTACCAGTATCATTGGAGATCCATAGGGATCCCCGCTACACGTAGATACATACACTTTTTTTTTTATAATTAAATTGGCCGTCCCCATATCTCGTCTAGTAATAGGCGCCGCAATTAAAAACTATCTCAATACTCCGTCCGGTATGAGTGAAATTTATAAACTCTCAACCCCATTCGATATGTGACTTTCCAGCCCTGTACGGTTGAGGATAACATCCACGGTAGGGTTCACCATATGTACCAAGTCCGTACACTCTTTTTCATAACATCCGGTAAGGTCTCTTATTCAACGTCATTAGTTTACCAATATATATTTTCTATGCAAACCCATACTTCAAAAATACAAGAAAGTGAAATTCAAGCTTCAGAATTGTGAAGGAATAAAACCGTTAAATAAAAACGAATTAAAATGTCATAATATGATAAAAGGATCGCACGTCGCTATAACATGAACAATAAAATGAAACAATAACTCAAGGTCGGATTTTAACAAGTAGAAAGTGAAAATGAAGTGCAAATAAAACTAATGAAAATGAAGTATAAATAAGTAATTAAAATCAAATAAAAGTATAAGCAAAAATGAAAAATAGGCAATGCAATAAACCAGAGACAAACATGGACAGATCGATTACTAGATCCATCGGCAATCTGTATTTAATTAAGCAAGGAATCACCAAATTGTTTATAATTTTCCATTTATTATTGATTTAACTTTAATTTAATCATAACAAGGGAAAAAAGATGAGGGATTCTTACATTGGGTCGGTGTCCAAGACACCACTTTTTCTACTATGATTCTCGACAATTTCCGGTTATTGAATTTCTTAGATTTTCCTGGTAAAATTTGAAAACGGATATCAAAACAGTGTAAAAATACGCAAAGAATAGCGAAACAAATAAAAAAATATCACTGGTGGTCAAGTTAGGGTTCTAGTGTGGTGGCGCTGCTGAGCTCTGCCGCCTAGTCCTCCTTCAGTGTTTCTCCCTCTTGGCCAAACCGATTCTGGCCAGTACCTAGTGGAAATTTATTTAAATCGTGGTTAGGGTTTAGGGTTTAATTAAGCCAAAATTATCGGCAGTTTTGCTTCTCCGGTGCAGCGACTCAACTGAGCTCTATCGTCCCTCCCTCGCGGTTTGCAGCTTCTCTCGATCACCCTGCATCAGAAACATGTTAGGCAGCTCAAGACAGAGAAATAGGAAGAACAGGAAGAAAATCTTGGCTTACCGGTGCATTTTAGGATTCTGGCATGGTGGTGGCGACGTCTCTCTGGTGGTTGAGCTCTCCTCCAGTTACCCTTTTTCTTCTTCTCCAGTGACTTTGTGTCAGCTAGGGTTTTGGGACCAACTGAAGAGAGGTTTAAATACATCTCTTTCCCAAATTCTGATCGTTCGTTTGAGTCCACGTGGAGCGAGGATGACCGTTTGATTAGGCTTATTCAAAAAATCGATCTGGACCATTCGTTCAGGTTCATGTAGGGAAACAGGAGCTGTTCTGTAACACCCAACATTTATTTTTCTGATATATATATAATTAATTATTTGTTAATTGAATTTAATTTGGTTTATTTTATTTTAATTTAATTTAATGAAAATAATAATAATAATAATATAAAAGAGTAAAAATTAGTTGAGAATTTAATTGAAAATAATTTTAGGAAAAAGGGGTGAAAATTTGGGTTATGTGGGTATTTTTGAAAGAAAATCAGAAACCGGATATCAAAATACAATTTAGAAAAATTTCATCACGTCAGATGCATGGTCTGTAGCCCCGACCAACTAGGACGCGCAAGGTGGCAGAGGTCCTGACGCGGGAGGCCACGCGGGGGGGAGCCGCGTGGGCGATCCGCGTGCGCGCGATCGAATGGCTGAGATCCGTTTCCGCGCACACGGACGGTCCAGATTGAAAACACGCACGGACGACCCAGATTGAATCGCGCACAGACGGTCCAGATTGAATCGCGATGAACAGTCCAGATTCACTGCATATTTAATCGCGATCGGACGGTCCAGATCAAAAGTGATGGACGGCCCAGATAAAAAACGAATGGGTATAAATAACCCCATCCTCACCCAAACCCTAACCCTAGCCGCCAAAGCCCCTCACTAGAGAAGACAGCCCAGCCACTAGGGAGCCGACTGCCACCGCACCCGGAGCAATTTTCGACCGCCAACGAGGTAAAAATAGTCCCTCTGCACAAAATTTAATTTTAAAACCCCACCCCATGACAAAATCGAAGTAAAAGAACCAGTCAATTGTCCGAAAAATGCAACTGAAGCTCGGCGCCGCCGCCGCGGGGTGTTTCGAAAAATGACTCCGATGAGGCCTTTTCCGATTCCAATTTGATGTGATTTTTCTACCATTGTGATCATTGTTTCCTTCTCTACAGGTTGACCGGAGCAAAACACCCAACAACAACATGAGCCAGAGGAGCCGTCGCACTGGAGAGCCCCACCGCCGGTGAGTTTCGGTTTTCTACATTTGTTTTGCCCACCGAGAGCCATAAGTGTGTTTTCTCACAGGAACTAATGCAAATTTGACTAAATTCAACCAAAAACAGCCGAAAATAGTCAACCCGAGGCGGATCATCACCGCCAGAGCATGGCAGAGCCACCATGCCAGATTTTTAAAATTGACCGAGCAGGCCTTGAGACTGATTTTTGAGTTTATTTGGGACATTTGTAGGTATCGTAAGCACGTTTCAGTTCCCAAAGAAAAATTCAGGGAACTTAGGGACCGCCTGTAGGCGCAGTAACCACTTAGCTTTTAGCGTCGAATTAAGTAAGGACCCCTCATCCTATTTCCTATAATGGAATTGAAGTTCAAATAAATGATAATACGGTCTTGTGGACAAATTAAATGGATGTGCTTGATTAATTACGGATTGTTAATGGAGCCCAAATCGGATATTATTTTCTGTCGATTTCTGTTGATTTATTTTACAGTTTAAAAGCATGATGGTATCTGGTTTATATATTGTATAGTTTAAATACATGTATTACTGCCTTACTTGACCACTGTTTGATTTTAAAAATGTAAGATATGATTGCATTGTCAGATGCATGTTTACTTGTTTATGTATTTATGTTTGATTTGGTAACGGAGACAAAGGAAAAATAAGAAAGGGGTGTGATCTGATAAATGGATAAGATAACAACCTCACTAGATATCTTGAAAGATGGTGGACGGACCAGGTTCATAGGGAACCCTACCGTGAACGTTGTCTTACACCGAACGGGATATGGAGACTTGGTCATTTGGTGCTCATATCGGACGGGGTATGAGGAAGACCCGCTTCACCCTCATATCGGACGTGATATTGAAGTTTAATGTCTTGGCACTCATACAGGATGAGGTATGGGGTCGGCTATGTAATTAAGACTGTTAAGGGAAATGGTTCACGTGTAGCGGGGACACCCCTATAGATCCTCATGGATACTACTAGGCTGGTGAAACGAGAAATGGTTACGAGTTCGTCTATTGTTAATAAATGTGAATTTATGATATGTTCTATGTTGCTGGTCGTGCATGAAGTTATGATCTGTATGATATTATTGCTTCTATAAATTTGTTTTCATAAATTCCTCAATGGTAAGTAAAAGAGTAATGGTCTTATTTTAAATAAATGTATTAGTTTAAATCTACTGCTCCATTGGTTGTTTTGGTTTTCTACCAACCTTTACTTCTATGACGGTGATATAGTGTGATGTCCTTACTGGGCTAGTGTAGCTCATTTCTTATTTAATTATTTTAGATCAAGAGGACCCGGTTCCCGAGTCCGATCTGCAAGAAGACTACGAGTAGATGCTAGATACTTTACACTTTCCGTTGGTTTTCCCATTGATTGTGTTTCTTTCAGAGAATTCATTCCGTGATGTTTGTTTACTACTTTTAAGTTATTGTGTAAGGGATGTAAACCTTAACTTTTTATTTCGCTTCTGCACTTAAATTTTTATATATTTTCTTTTGGATTTCCGGGGTGTTACAGTTGGTATCAGAGCTGCGTTCTTCGGACCTGTCCCTTACACAATAATACTTAAAGAAATACAAAACTAATGAATTATCACTCAACCATTCCTTGTAAAATGCAGGTATAGAGAGATGAGAAGAGGAATACCCCCACTAAACCGAGCAGCCCGGGATAGTTCGCTTAACGAGGACGTTAACAGGATATTTGAGATGTTAGAGAGACTCATTGCTGCCCAACAAGATCGAGAGGAGATGAGGGAGCTATCTGACCCTCCCCCACTGCCACAGGTTGAGCCACCACTGCAGCAAGAGGATCCCGAACCACTTCGGTACGACCTTGTTCCTCCACAGTACCGTCCGGCACCGCCACAATACAATCTGGTACCCCCACCGTATCAGCAAGTA